TTATTTTATATTTTTTTTTTTATTTTATATCTGATTTTTTATTTTTTATATTTTTATATATCTGATTTTTTTATATTTTTTAATTTTAAATCTAATATTACTTATTTTCATATTATTAATTATTTTATATTAAATTTTTCTTGTTTATATTAAATTAATGAAATTATTGTTATAATCCATTTCGAATTATTATTATTTTCATATCTATTTTTTTTTTGAAAATAAAATAAATAAATTGACAATAATAATATTTATTAATATTTTTACAATTAATTTGTAAATTAAAAATAAAAAAATTAATTTATTACAAACTATATGTATATTTTTTAAAATATTTTATTTATATTAAATAAAATAATAATAATATATTATTTTTATAAATTCTTTAAAAAAATAAAAAATGTTTAATCAAATAATCTAATTATTTTATTATAGATATATTTAAATATTTTATAAAAATAAATTATAAATATATATTAATTATATTATTATAAAAAATAAAATACCATTTTTCAAAAATTTTATTTATTAATTATTATTGTATTGAATAAAATATTATAAATATCAAAAGATAATTTTAAATTGCAAATTGTAAATATCTTCTATAAAATCTAATCTAAAAATTAATAAATATATAAAAAAAAACTAAGTAAAAATGATTATTATTTTAATAACAAACAAAAAAGTATTATTTATATTTACAAATAAAATTTAATTTATTTTATCTAATAATAATTTAGAAAATTTAGGATTATTATCCAGATAATAACAATTATATATATATATTTAATTTTTATAAATAAGTTTATAGATAATATTATATTTTAATTTTTTTATAGAATTACTAAATTATAATTTTAAATATTAAAAATAATAAAAAAAGAAATATTAAATTAGACATTTTTTATTATTTAAAAAAACTTAATTAGATATTTTTTTTGTTATAAAAAAAAAATATTAAAATAATATAAATAATCTTTTATTTTGATATTAAAAAAAAATATTATATATTTTATTTATTTATTAAATTATAATATTTATATATTTGATAATTTTTATTTAATAATTATTTATATCTTTATCTAATTAATTAATTATATTATATATAATATAAATATTTTAATAATAATTTATTTAATTCAATTTTTTATTTAATTATTTTTATTTTTTATTTTTATGTTATTGTTTATATTTTTATTTATATAATAATTTAAATCTATAAACTATTATATAAAATTATTAGTTAAAATATTATAATAAAATAATATACAATATTTTATAAAATATAATTCTAATATTTATATAATCATATTATTATATAATAATAATAAATAATTATTTAATTTTATTAAAAACATTCAATTAATTTCAAATTTTAATATGTAAATTTAAATTAATATATTAAAAAAAATTTAACAATAAATTTAAAAAACCAAATGAATTTAAATACATTAATTTTTTTATCTTTATTAAAGGCAATAGTATTATCTTAAATTTAAACCTAAACTTTTCCATAACCAGTATAATAAACTGATCCATTAAAATGTTTTTATGAAAGTCTTGCTGAAAAAACAATGGGCGGATGTTCTTCTTGTAAATCTTTCTTAGATCTCTAGTCTGCCTAAGACGCTTGCTGTTAAGAAAAAACCTGTAAAGCTGTCGTTTATACCTAATAAGATGGCAAATGGGTATACTAAATTCGACTTGACGATAAATTTGAGTTCACTGATTCTTATATACAAGGAGAAACAATATATTTCCTTAAAAGAAGAGAATTCTACAGCGAAAAAATAATAGTAGTGGAAGAAAACAAAGAATTAAAGAACAAAAGTGCTTTCATAACCTATACTGGTAAGTAATATTTAGGTATAGTCGGCTGGTACAATAGTAAAGCTACAAAATGTGATTATGACGAAATAAGTAATATGAGACTTGAAGTATGTGATAATTAATGCCATAGTTTTGGTACGTTAGAGGACGCTATGAAAGAATGTTGTTCCATCCCTGAATGTTATGGAGTCACCTAAATTTCTGAAAGTAACTTCTAAACCCGTTTTTCGAAAAAACTATACAAAGAAGTCGGATACTAGAGCTTTTTTAGGTCTTCTACTTAAGGTTTGAAGGAAAAAAAAACTACTACTACAAAATAAATTTAAGCCTGGGATGAAGAATTCGACTGGTAAAACGCTTATAGAAAGCCTACTTATGAAGAATAGATAAAAATAGATAAAAAAAACTAATAATATAAATGGAATGGAGCTGAAGAAAAAATAACTAAGAAAAAAACTTCGACAATGAACTATACTGGTAAAACAATCAAAGGTGTAAAAGGCTGGTGGAGTGGAAAATAACAAGATTGTAATTATGGAGAAGTCTTAGATGCTTCATTGGGAAAAGATTGCAGTGGAGAGTGTCAAGTATTCTCTAAATTCGAAGATGCTTTAGCAAGTTGTTGTTCTTAACCAAAATGTGTGGGTGTAACTTACTCTAATAGTGGTACTACTAGTTGGGGATTCTAAACTAGATTTGTATATTCTGTAAGAGCCTCAAAAACAGGAGAATATTCCTATTATAGAGGATGGACAACTTACCCATTAGAAATTACTAGTTATTAAGCAAGTACTAAAACCGAAACTTTAGAAAGAAGTGTAGTACCTTCTGGAGTTTAAAAAAAAATTACAGTTACAGTAGAAAATGTTACATATACTTGTACTTATTTATAATTTTTGGAAGCTTAGTAGGAATAAAAACTTGATTAAAAATAAACTTTTGAAAATTTAGAATATGCTTTAGATTCATGTTGTGGATAGAATGAATGCTTAGGAGTTTAATTGTCTAACGGAATATTAAGTCTATAAGGAGGTAAAAACATTGGATTTGGACAAAAAAATGATATAGTATATTTCTTGGCTAATAGAGATGAAGAAATTGTAAATAAAATAATTACAAGAGTAAGTATGGCTTAGGAAAAACATTTATAAAAATAAAATTGAATTTTATAAAATATTACTTTTTATTAATATATATATATATATATATTTATATATATTTATATATTTATTTATATATATTTTAAATTTATTTAAATATAAAAAAATTTTTATTTATTATTATTTATTATATAGATTTATTTATTTTGAAAATAAAAAATAAATTAATTAATATATTAATTTACTAATTGTGTATATTTATTCTTATATGTTTATAATATTTAAATAAAATTATATATAATAATGATAAAAAAAAAAAAATTAATTTTTTATCTATATATTCATATCATTTAGTTTAATTTAGAATTTATCTCAATAATTTGAACCTTCTGGAGGTTATTAAAGTCTTTTATTAGAAATCATCTCATTTTTCAAATTAACCAAAAGATTTTCAAGAGTATAATTAGATTTCCAATTTTTTAAAATATTGAATTTATTAATATCAATCTTAAAAAATAAAAAAATTATATTGTATTAAAAAAATAAAATATATATTAACATTAATATATAATTTTATACATATATATTTATTTATATAAATAAATATAATATATTTAAATTTAAATATTTATTTATTTTACTTATCCATTTGATTAATTAACACAAGGTAAATTAATTTTACTATTAAATTTTATTTAAGGAGCTTGATTAGGATAATTTGGCCCACAAGTAATTTTTAATGAATAAATTCTATTTTCGAAAGCAGTCTACATACATACATACATACATATTTTAATATATAAATATAATTATATTTTTACTCCAAAAGGTCCTATAATAGTGCCATTCCAATTAGTTAAACTCATATCTTCATCTATTTATTTTAAAAATATTTATTTAATGCTTTTGATTTTTGATTTTAGGTACTATTATCTAAACCATAAGATACTGTACCATCACCTATTCCTTTTCACCATGTTCAAGTTTTTCTAAAAGTCTGAATTTTCTTGGGACGTCTTATTAATACGGAATTCGTTTAAAAAATAAATAAAAAATTATTTTAGTTACTTGCTGCTGAATCTATATATAATAAAATAAATAAATAAATGTAATTTTATTAATATATTTTTAATACCCATTTTTTTTTTTTTTTCTTTCTATATAATCTATTTTAATATTATTTTTTTTTATTTATTTATAAAAAAAATATTTTGATATTTATTATATTATTGAAATAAAAAAAAAAAAAAAACATACTATTTAATATATATTTATATTATATAATTATATTTTATTTTATTTTAGTTTTTTTTTTTTTATATATATATAAAAAATACAAATATATATCATATTTTTCTATTTATTATATATTTTCTAATAAAATCACTTATGCTTTTTATTTTCGTCATTTCGTCTATAGGAATAAAAGAAAGTAAGCATTTAGTTGACCAAATCTAAAAATAAAAATAAATAATAAAAAATAACTATTTATAAATACTTCTTTATTAATTTAAGAAAGAAAAGGATTCCAACATAAAATAGTTGATAAAAAAAGTAAAATAATAAAAAAGGTTAATAAAATAATACCAATTACTTCATAAGAACTTATTTAATATAAAATTTCCTAAGTAAAAATTTGTTTTAAATAGCTAATAGAATATTTCAAATATTAAGTTTAAATTTAAACTAAAAATAAAATATAAAATTTAAACTAAAAAAAAATAATAAAATACTCAATTCATAACTTTCTCCAATTCTCAATAAATTCAATAAATTATTTTTCATTATATTATTATTTTAATCAATTTCAATAAATTTAAATTATTCATCCTCAAATTATTTAAAATCAAACTATTACAAAGGATTATTTATTATACTAATATATCTATCATTAAAATATCTAATTAATTAAAAATATCTTATTAAAACAGTAATCATTCCCTTTTTTTTATATATATTTAAATAATTGTTAATATTACCTATTTAACTACACTTTTAGCAAATTAATTACATTCAATTAAAGAAGCTCCTTTTTACTATACTAATATTTTACAGGTATCGCCAAACATTATATCTTAAAAAGTTTAAAGGTAATTTATTTAATTATCATGTTTATTTAAATTTTTAGCATGTTACTTATTATATATATATAAAAAATTAAAAATAAAAAAATACTTCATGTATAGTTTCATCTATTAAATAAATTTACTATTAAAATTGAGTTAAAATATCTAAAGAATTTTGATTTAAAATAGTCCATTAATTATTATAAATCATTTATTTCTACCCATTCAGCACCAGTGAATAATAAGGCTCGGAAAAACATGTAAAATTATATTCCTTAAGTATCTATAAAAAACCATCTAATTGAAATATACCAAAAAAATAATTTGAAATAAAGTAAAGTTCAATAAAAATAACAATAATAATAATTCTAAATAAAAAAATAAAACTTCCTCTATCTGTATTTTTAAATTTCTTTCTCCTTTTGCCAAATATGCTATTAGTTTTAGAATCAATATTTTCTTCTTTTTCTTAAACATAATCTACATCACTATGAAAATCGTCTATTAATAATATTATATATATATAAACATATATATATATAATATATATATATATATATATATATATAAATATTTAAATTATATTTATTATATACCGTTATATATTTTTTATATATATATATATATATATATTTATTTTTATTTATTTTTACCATCTTCTACTTAACCTAATTATGCTAAAAATGTTTCACATTTTAAATAAAGAAATTTAGATGTTTTTTCTGGTATATCTAAGAAAACTGAAAGTACTAATTATTTTACAAAAATAGATTTTCCTAAAAAAAAAAGTAGAAATAATGCAAATATAAACATTAAAATAAAGCTTGCGATTAACACATTTAAAGCATTTTATTTTACTTCTTCTATACAATCAAGCATTTTTTAATTTAATTAGTTGTACATTTTTAACAGTACATATGTAAAATCATTTAATCCATTAAATTGTATAAAAAATTAATCTATTTTTTCATCATTTAGCAAATTATTTTATACTAAATTGTGAGATCTTGTTATTATTTGTTCATAAACATAGTTTATATTAAATTATGTTGATTATTTTTCATAATAAAATACATTTACGACGTAATTTTCAAGACTAGTTATCTTATCTATTTCATCATTTAATTTCTCTACTTCATTTATTGAGTTTTTTAGTTTTTCTTCTAATTTTTTTTAATCATTTTTTATCTTTTAATCATTATTAGTTACATTTTCTGAATATTAAGGTATTCTTATACCTTCACTTAGTAATTTTAATTCACGTACATAACATATAATTTCTTAAATTTCAGAAATTCTTGTAGATTAGAGATTAATTTCTTATATTAAATTTTACTTTTTTTTAATTCCTATATTTTTTTAAGCAAAATCTATACTTGCACTAAAAAATATATAAATATACATAACATAATATATATATATATACTTAGTAATAATAACAATTAAAGCTAATAAAGTAAATATTTTCAATTATTAAATAATTTTAGATTCTAATTATTTATCAAGTTCTTCATTTAATCCTTATGCGGACTTAATACCTGATTAATCAAATAATTCATTCTAAATACTGTTTTCTTTTGATTTTTAAAGAGTTATTTTTTTCTGACGTATTTTTCTATTAACTTCATTATCTGACATTCCATCATCTTCCATTTCTTCTTCTTCTTCCTCTTCTTCAGAATCGATATATTAGTATTTTTCAGCATCATGCAATTAATTATTTACTAATTTTATAGTTCTAATGCTTATAAATGTAAAAATAAATATATATATGTATGTATATATATATATATATAATTATATATATATATATATATATATTTATATTTTTTTTTTTTATATATATATACCCTTTAGAATAATCAATTTTATAACAGTTATAATTTTAATTATTTATATTGTCTTATAATAAATCTTATTTATTTTATAAACTATTAATATTACTATTTTTTAAAAGTACTATATTATCTATATTTTATTCAAATAAAAAGCTTTATTCATTATAAAAGTTACTAATTTCAACATATTAACTTCCACACAAATACAATCCATTATAAATAATGTCATTATTTTCTAAAATACATAACTTGAATTAAAAGCAATAGTTTTGATTAACTAATAAATTACTCCTTTAACTTTTACAAGAAGATGTTTTTTCTTATATATTTTCAATTTTATAAATTTAGCCAATTAATTAATTTTCTTTACATTTAAATTTCAAATCCATAATTTAAACATTTACTTTTACCTATTTATCACCTTTTCTATGCATTATTACATCTTCATTTATTTAAGGAAATATATAATCTGTTAAAAATCCTTTTTTGCTCATATATTATTACTTATTCTATTATATATCAATAAATAAATTATTCACATTAATTTATTCTAAACTTAAAATATTTATATCTAAACCTAAAATATTAATACAAGCTATATTAAATATAACAAAAATATAAGAAACATTGAATAATTATATAAATATTTAAATAAATATAAATTTATATAAATATATATTTATATATTTATATATGTATATATATATATTTACATGATGATATATCCTTTACTATATCTTTTTCATTTACATGTAAATAACAAATATTTTTAATTATTTTTTCTTTTCTAAAAATTCCAAAAAACTCATAACTATCTTTTAGAACATGTAAAACAGGCTTAATATTTAACATAATCGGAAAAATATATTATTACTTATTTTTTCCAAAAATGAATTTGTCCTTTAATACAGACTACTTATTTTCTTAATCACAGAAATACTTTAATATATCATCATGATATTTTCCATATAAAAATGGTTACAATAAATTGACATTTTTATTTATAATTTCCTCTTTTTAATATCCAAAAAGGCACCCTGCATTTAAATTACAAGCAATAATCTGTCCTAATTTTTCCTTTTTAATTAATAAATAAATATTTATATATATATATATACTTCTTCTATTGTAATAAAAATAATTCCATCTTCTTAATTATCAATATTAAAGTCAGATTAAATATTAAAATAATAGTCTTTTTTATTAATTAGATTTTATTCTATTTTCTATGCTTTTTCTAGTAATTAAATACCTTATTATTTATCATTAAAAATATCAATTAAATATTTCGAATATATTCTAAAAACCTTCGGAATTAAAATATTTTTACTTGTGTTAATTTTCTTCCACATATCATCAACTAATATCTTTAAAGGAAATAATTTAGACCCTATGTCATATAATTTTATTAAATCTGGTTTATCATCTGAAAACTAACTCCAGAATTCCATTAAAAGACTCACAGTTTATTCCATTGCGCTTTTGAAGTTATTAATTTTATCTTCTAAACTCCTTTATTCTCCATAATCTTCGCCATCTTATTTACTTATTTCTGATATTTCGCTTTCAATAGATCTCCTTAATATATAATATTAATATAAATTAATATTATATATATATATATATATATATAAAAATATATATATATATATACTTTATATAATATAATATAAATCTTTCATCTGATTCACATTTTAAATTTTCAGCGACTACAACTTAATTTAACGCATGTTATTTATTTTTAATAATTTTCATTAAAAAAACACTATAATATATTCTTAATGGGATATTTTTGGGAAATTTTTATATATTAATTTCAAATAATTTAGAGATTAATTCTTCACAAAATTAATATCTTTTATCTTTTTTTTTATTTTATTATTGTTCGTTTTATGATATTTTTTATTTTTATTTTTTCCAAGTAAAGCTAACAAATTTTATCTTTTTTAAAGGACAATTTGTTATTATACAAGTCTTATTATGAAATTCAATGTATCCATTAAGAAGTTATCCTGATTTAGATTTTCTTTTATCATTTTCAATTAATTAATGAATAAAAAAAATATGGTCAATAACTTCTTAAGGATTTTAGAATTTATTTACGTTTATATTTTAATTAGATTCAATCTAAAAATATATATATATATAAATATATATATATATATATATAATTTTAATATATTATTTTAGTTATTTATTTTTGAATACTATTTTTTATCAATAGGTGTAATTATAATAATTAAAAATATTAATGGAATCCCGAAAATCCATGCATAAATTATACCATGAAAAATTCTTTTTTCAGTCAATATAGCTACAGTAAGCATTAAAGCAGTCCAAATATTTACAGAAGAAAAAAAGACCACATTTTTTAAATTAATAATGAATAAAATGGTTAATTTTAATGTAAAAAAGTATATAAATAATATGAAATAATTAAATAAAATAATAAATTGAAAATATTAAAATTTTCACCTTATAAAAAATTTAAAGAAACTATTAGTATACTTTCATAAATTTTTAATAAAAATATCCCTTTATTATTTTTTTTGAATTAACCTTATTAACATTATGAATTCCGTCAAAGTAAAAATAAGAAAAAACAAATGTAAAAAATAATAAAAAAATAATGCAAATAATACTAGATATAGAGTAAAAAATATGCATTCCCTATATAAATATAAAAATATAAATAATCAAAATGATAAAAATTTAAAATTATATATATATATATATATTATATATATATATATATATATATTACATATATATATATATATATATATACTACACTTAATTCAGT